ATAATTCATTCATGTCAGCGCTGGAAGTCTATAAATCAAATTTCTTTTAAATCATTTGGGATGTTGTTTTTTTGTTACATGCTTGCGAATAGAACAAATAGAATGTACGACCCCTTTACGGCACTCAGCCAGGAAGTCGCTAAGTTCCTTAAATTTGTCTCTTCGTAATACCCAGAAAATACTGAGGATTTTTCCACTCGCGTGAAAAACAAATTGAATATACAGCCTCCTTGCAGCTTTTTGCCAGAAAGTCGCTAAAGTTTTTAAAATTTTCCCCTCAAGATGCCCAGAAAATACTAAGATTTCTCTAGATTTTTTTGTAAACTAAGGTAACTGCCACACTTTTCTTGTTTACACACTATAGGCTGTAACGAGCGCTTTTCATTGGCCAAATTCATATTCGAAAAACGTTGGAGCTTTCGGCGTGGGCGGCACCAACGGAGGAAGAAAAGGTAGGAGAGGCCTTGACGTCACTCGTTGTGAAGCCGCAATAAAGCCGGCCGTATTGACTGGGCAAATTCTCCTCTCTTGTGTACATCCGAATACATTGGCTTGAATAGGAAAGTGTGATGAATGCGCCGGCTAGCACGTAACGCCTTGGAAGGAAACCACCAGATGGCGCTGGCACACACTTGCACGTCAGTAAAGCAAGATTCAGTAAAGAAGAAGAACAATGCACATGCTGCGGGAAAGATAAGGAAACGGCGGAGCATGTTCTGATTGAATGTGGAGATATCCACCCAGGTGTACGTTTGGGCACGAGCCTACAGGAAGCCTTGGGTTTTAGGGACAACAATGGAAAGCTGAACACACCCGCGATTGAAATAAGTAAGAGACGGTTAGAGTATTGGTGGCAGAAAATTAGAGAGAAAGGACAAAAATAAATATTGGAAAAATAAAATATGGACAGTGTGCCGTAAATGGCAGAGAACTTAAGCTGAAAATTTACCTTTTTTTCCATTAAGATAGAATTTATCGAAGTAGAGGCATTAGGCCAACATAAAAAGAAAAAAAAGGTTTTTTTTTTTTTTTTTTGTCGAGCCTGGTGGCATACTTGTCACCACCCCGTTATAAAGGGGACGCTCATAGCATCCATCCATCCACGTCACCTAATGCGTGGTTCTTAATAAAGAGAAAGGAAGAGAAAAGTGAGCCCCGTTATTGTCTGCTTCAGTGAGCGACACCGCCACAGGGCTCACAAAGGATGGGGGTGAGGAGGGATAAAAAGGGTAGAAGTAAAGGTATAGGAAAGAGGAAGAAGAAGCAACAACAAACTGGGGGGATAGGAGAGACAGGAAAGATGGAAGCACGGTCACTGGAGTCCGAGGACGAGGTACCCTTGCGAGAGATGTCGGCGTCTGTAGATGGCGTAGAGCAGGTCCAGTAAGTCAGAGCTTCACTGTCGTCGAAAGCCGTCGGCGACAGGAGGTGACGTAGGGCGAGCCCAGTCGGCCAGAGCTATGGTGACGCCGAAGGTCGCAAGCGCGCGGGCGCACAAACGGTCGGCACGAAATCCAGCGAGCGAGCCGCACGTCACCTAAGGCGGCGCTGCACTGCGCAGAGACGGCAATCGACCACGCGCGGGGGCAATGTGAAACATTTAAAATATATTTTCTTGCTCGTGGATGGCCTCAAAAGGCGACCGAAAAAATATGTTAACTAGCTTCTGAAAAACAGGATGCCGACGTGGGTGCACGACTGATCTGAAATATCGTCAGGTCGACAGGATGCCGAAAGTGAGCGCGTAACGGTACTGAAACATTTCATCGATGAGAAGTGGTAGAAGAGTGGAACGTTGAGCTCAGTCGTGAGCCATTGCTTGCAACACTTTTCACGGCGAACCACCATTTTCTCAAGCACTAATCTGTGAGTAATTGATTGATGATTGATTGATATGTGGGGTTTAACGTCCCAAAACCACCATATAATTATGAGAGACGCCGTAGTGGAGGGCTCCGGAAATGCCGACGAACTGGGTTTTTTTAACGTACACCAAAATCTGAAACCTGTAAATGAAGCCTCATCAATCAAAGCGTCATAATCATGAGGCGAGAAAAACGAGCGGTGTCTGAATGAAATCCTTTAATTTCTGCACACAGGTGAATGAACACAATTCCAAGTAGTGACTCACTATCTGTTTACAACAATGCATTCTTAATCATTTGTTGCACGCCCTTTTTTTATCCCCAAGAAAAAGGTTTATTAGTTCACAAGCGCCCCACAGAACATTGGGCTGCAAGCCTAGATTATGTGTCTGAGCTTCACGCACTTCCTCTTTTCACGGGAAGATGCTCGCTTTTTGTGGAGTACCTTTGTGTAAAAACGCAAATGGGTGAGCAGAAAAAACTTGTTTACTTGATTTGTGAAGCTCGGACCATGTTGTGTGCAGCCCAGTGTGACTTTTCTTTTTTTTTTTTTCAAGCAGGAAACAAGCTCTTCCAAGCTGTCACTTTGAAGCTCGTTGTACCTAAAGCACTTTGAAAACGTGATTTCAAAGGCGTCGACAAATGCGAAGAGCTTCTCCGAAAGTCCTACCCATAGGCGTCCACACGAGGGGAGCAAAGGGGGCTGGCCACCTGGGACGGGGCGCTAAATCTGTTCTATCTAGATGGGTGGCGTAAAGTCTGCCTCATACCACGAGTGTTGAAGATTGGGCGAGTTGGTTCGTCGTATTTGAACTGGTATAGCGCATTATGGGGAAGACGAAACGGCTGAGCAGACCGACACAAGAGGACAGAGCGCTAACTTCCAACTGAGCTTTATTGTCAAACTGCATCAAATATATAGACCGGCGCAAGCATACAAAACCACCCTAACGCAACGACAAGATAACACACAACATCACAACGTCACATATCACAGATTCATAGGCGGTTATCCTGATTAAGAAAGGCCACTTCATGTTCAGATAAAACCAAAGAAGGGGCGCTAATACACGTGCTGCCAGCTCTTGCTGTACAATGCGCTTCTATAGTTTCTCGAGTTAATTGTGACGGGTGCTTTTTTTTTACCACTTCGCATTGATCAAACATGGGGGTACATCCACAATCTCGGCAGTGAATTCCAATGTGGCCCTGGATTGCTTTGTGAACATTGTAATGGTGCTCTTTTAGCCTTTCATGAAGGCATCGCCCCGTTTGGCCGAAATACCACATACCACATGAGAATGGAATCGCGTAAACAACCCCCGCTACACACGGCACAAACCGAGTTTTGTGCTTAGTTGCGCAACCAGTGGTACGTGATTTGAGAGGGTTGACTGCTTTGCAAAGCCGCTGTAACTTATCCGGCACTGAAAACACCACTTTGACGCTGGATTTTTCCCCTATCTTTTTTAGCCGGTGGGAAATGTCATGCACGTAGGGTAAAACTACGGGTCTTTTACGGTCGGTAGATTCCGGCTGAGCCTCGGAGTTGCAGCCTTTCTTTATCTGTTTTAATAGCTTTTCAGCTATAGATGCCAGTAGGATAGCTGGGTACCCAGCACTCAAAAGCCTTTCAGCTTGAGCTGCAAAGCTGCGCTGCATGACATGATGACACGATTTCCTAAGAGGATTGATGAGAGAAAGATTTGTGATGCTGCGCTTAACTAACTTGGAATGGGAAGAGTCATAGGGTAAAAGGGGTTTTCCATTTCTAGGTTCAAATAGCCAGCACACATGGTCAGGTGAAAGAATTAAATTCAAATCTAAAAAGCGTAAGCTATTGTCAACTGGCAACTCGTGAGTCAATAAAAACGGTTTAAAACATTGTTTAAAAGTCATTACAATATCGTCGGTTAGGTGCTGGCAGGCAGCGTCGCTGCAGTCAATGAAAATTAAAAAGGCGTCTACGTAACGACATATTTTGGTGACAATATTTTGGTCCAGCATGCTCATCAGCAACCGGTAATGATGTGCAAGGTATATGTCACTAAGGATCGGGGCGAGGCATGACCCGATGCAGACACCACTATTCTGTATGTATTTACGACCATTAAAAGACACAAAAGTCGACTTGATGTAAAAGGACAGAAGCTCTATGAGGTTACTGTTATGGACACCCGTGAGATTCTGGAAGGCTACAGCACCAAATGAGTCAATGGCATTGTCAACACACTGTAACAACTTCTCAGGCGGCAAAGAGTAATACAAATCTTTTATATCGACCGAAAGTGCTCTTAAGCCCCTGTCGTTATGTTCCAGAAAGTTAACCACAATGTCCGAATTCCTAATTAAAAAGGGGTCATCGATGGTAAGCAAATTGAGTTTTTCTTGCAGAAATACTGCCACAGTTTTTTGCCATGTTCCTCTCTCTGTCACAATTACCCGCAGAGGGCAATCGACCTTGTGTGTTTTGGCCGTAAAGAACACATCAAGGCTAAGCTTTTTGCACTTATCCACTGCTTTGGCAAGTTTTTCGAAACCCAAGGTGGCACACAGCTTTTTTGCCTGGGATTTAACTTTGCTGAGGGTAGTGTCATCCCCAGCTCTAAAGACGGAGTGAAAAGCTGTGGTCGCTTTCTCAATAAATAAGGAGTTCGGTAAAACGACAAAACCTCCCTCTTTGTCAGAAGGTAACAGAGCTAGTGAATTGTCTTTTAAGTGTTCTACGACTTTCTTAAATGGCAGTTTTTTGGTCGAAGGCATGAAACGCGAAACCACATCAACGCCATCGGCAACACACCTGTCCCTTTCACCCTCAGGAATCTGTCGAGCCACTTGCCTGACGTAGGTGAGCAGATCGTACGGTGAATTGGCTGGTTCCGTGGCGAACATCGGTCCGCGGCACAATACGCGTCGAACCGCTTCAGGGAGCACAACACCGCCCAGAGTGTGTACAGGGTTGCGCGTTGCAGTCACCTTCACGGGGGTCATGGCGCGAAGGTGGAAGAGCATACGCTGCCACAGGTACTCCGCTTTTCGGTAAATTGATGCAATCGGAACATCAAGTGGCCTTCCTTAATCAGGATAACCGCCTATGAATCTGTGATATGTGACGGTGTGATGTTGTGTGTTATCTTGTCGTAGCGTTAGATTTCTTTCTTTGATCGTTCCTTTGTTCATTTAATTATTTAGTCAATATTTTCCGGATGTCTTTCTTTATCTTTTCAATGTTATTGACAAAATTCTTATACTGTACTTATATTTGTTGAAATATTACTATCTTTAGTTTGTATTACATTTATTTGTATAACTTATCCCACATTGTATACAGTGTGGCATTTTACGCTTATTTATTTCACACATCTTCAGACAGGAGGTCCCCCTTCAGCTAAGTGCTCTGAGACCGCCTGTTGTGTGTAAGCATGTATGTTTTATATGAAAGTAAATAAACTGAAACTAACTTGCTCAGTCTCCACCAATGAAAATCCACATTATTTCCGCAATAAAAATGCAGTGCATTGAGAAGATGGACTAGTAGTGGAAGTACGTGGGGCATGGGAGGTGCCCAACGGGGACGCTTCACGCACTTTCGTCGTCCGAGCCCCAGAAGTTCCACGTGGGCTCCCTAGTGTCGGCGGGGACTCCTAGAAGGGCCCCGACGGCGTCCACACCATGTAGGTGGACGTTGGCACGCACCGCCCGCGGCTTCAAGTAGCGCACCAAGTCGCGCACCTCGGCGAGCGACGCGTGCGTCGAGTAGCAGAGCCGATGCAGGTCGTCGGCGATCGTCTCCACGAGCCGGCTGGGTGCCACCCGGTGAGAGAACCACATTGCCGATGGCTTAACCGTCACGCAGGCTGGCCCCAGGTCGCAGTCGCAGTCCGCGTGAATGCGCGTCGTCTCCGCATCCAGGGTCAGGCACTTCACCACGTCCACAACGCCGGCGTAACGTGACATCTGACCGCGCATGACGTGAATTTTGACGCCAAAGGCCAGCGCGAGCGACGCGAACAACGTCTCGTAGCCGAGCTTCGCACCTGGAAGCCTCAGTCGCAGCGACCAGCCGGCGTCGAACTTTGGTGCGAACAAGTCCACCAAGGCCCGCTCGCTCTCCTGTCGCGTGGGGACATAGGCCGCGTCGGGTCGGCAGAGCGTCGTGTCCACGTAGGCCGTGTCGATGGGCTTCACGCGGCCGGCGTCGCAGTGGAGGGACGTCAGAGTCGAGGCGCGGCCAACGTCCAGCCTGAAGTCGCCCGTGTAGAGGATGGTGCCCCCAGCGCCTTCGAGAAGGAACATCACAGATCCCGCGCAGTGATTTGCGGGTATCGTGGTGACAACCACGGCGTACTCGCCCGCGGCTCCGTCGGCCGGCACGGTGATCGTGGTGGGCGCATCGAGCGGCAACGCCGAGAGGCGGCTGCGGAGCCAGGAGTACTTCGGTTCGTTGAGCAGCAGTCGACACGACACCGCAGATGCGTACAGCCTGACGTCGCGTCTGCTCCGCAGTCGTCTTCGAAATCCGCAGCCGTCGAGACCCTGCATGTGGTCGCGGTGGCAGTGTGACAGCAGGAACGCCGTCGAATGCACGTTGCGTCCGTCAAAACGGTCCACGGACAACCGTTCGTACTCCACCAGCGTTCCTCCAAACGTGCTCATCTCACGCTCCACACGAAGAGCTGATGTCATTCATGAAGCAACTTCGCAAAAGTAGCGACTCGCAGCGAAAAAAAGGCCAGTTCGCTCACGCCGCAGCGGTCCGCGGCGCGCTTCCAAAAACCTACCAGATTAGAGAACGGAAACTGTAGTTTGGGCCAGGCCTCGGAACCTCTCAAGTTCAAGTGCTCACCTGTAGGGGACGCAAAAATCAACCGCGGCGCGTTTCTGCTTCAAACACCCAGAGTGCATCTACTAACCTCTCTCGTCACTCGCGCCTTCGTCGAGGCCAAGTTTTATTTTAAAATGATCAAACGCTACATGTTTGCGTACTGCTACACATAAAAAACATTTTGTTCTTCTAGCAAGTAGTTTTCTTAAACATGTGCTGCGTCATTAACTTTTTTTAATAGTTTTTGCTCCAGCTGACTTGATGTCAGTAGCAGCCTATCGACATCATTATCCTCATTTCAAAGTTTGCGGCGGCCTCCGTGGCGGCGGCCAACGGTTGCGACGGTAGCTAACGGCTCGCGGTACGTTCGGATGTGTCTCGGACTGTTTTGTTTTGCTATAAATATTTCGAGCCTCTGTCGACCGACGCATTCTTTCTCATTCTTTTTATTTTGACTCGTTCAAATGCTTTCGCGAAGGGAATTCGAGTGACTTTCGGGGAACGAAGCGACCGTTGAAGCTTTCATCGGATGAACACCCGTTGCAAGCCTGGGCCGGTGAGTAGAAACCACTTCAGTTTTTTAAGGATGGTTGCTTGCGGGGCTAGTTGGTTCATTTCAACATAAGTAGTTTTTTTTTTTTTTTTGCCGATGTCTGCGTAGGCGTCACACGGTGGCAGCGCATTGAAGTATTAAATTTTAAAATTGTTGAACGTCTCAATCTGTAACTGGAAAAAACGTGTGTTACTTGCGGCGTGCATGGCTTCACGTAGGAACGAGTCGCTAACTCAATAGTTAATTCTGAAATTCTATCATCAGGTACACCAACCAGGCCGTTGGGATAAAAGAAGGCAAATAAATCACTGTCCCCTCGCATGTGTCTTCTTAGCTAGCCCATATACTAGTGCAAAAAACCTACTAGTTAATAATTTACTGCAGTCGCGTTTGAGAACCATCACATAATTATGGGTCTAGTTTTGCTATAGTGTGACAAAAGAAGCGTCACATAAATGAGAAATACTTCTTTTTCTGCCACAGCCTCCTGGCCCACCTGACATGGAAGCAAATGTGTACAATGGGCAAGAAACCTGCTACGTGACATGCCTTGTGAAGAAGCAGCCTTGAGTGATATACGTGTTATGAGGTACCACTACATATATGTATAAAATACTGCTGTTTACTAATTAACTGAGTTTATTTGTTTACTTTGGAAAATTTCATGCATTGATATCTGGTGATGTTACTTGTTTTTTCAGACTGCCATGTAAAGACAGGATGACTACCCCCGAATGTCCACTCTGCAAGCACGTTGAAACATCCGAATGTCCACTACAACAGGTCATCTCTAACCTCACACATGTAATGCTGTGTTTGTGAATGTTTTACCGCGCATATCGTGGAGAGGAGCTTTAGATTGGCTACAAGCATTGCCTGCCTACCGTGGCATGGAATCTACACTTCAATAATGTTGAAACTGTTTCACTATTAGTTAGATTGTGTGGCACTGCTGAGCTCAACAACACACTGTTTGATCCCAGCTACTGTAGCCATATTTTGATGGGGGTGAAACGTTAAGACGCTTGTGTGCTTAAGGGTCTGTTCAATTTGCCTGCACCACATGATCCATTTTACAAAATGCTGCACCTCGCCATTCGTTTCAGCCTGCGCAGCAATGGTATCTTCTAAATCTTGCCATTCATTTCAAAAAGCGCAGGAGAGGTACAGCACCAAAACTATTTCATGACTTTCCGGTACCTTCTCCTCTGACGGCGCTGGTTTGGTGCAGCCGCTCGCACAGCTTAACAAACAACATAGCATTAGACGTAGGTGCTGTACCCACCCCTATAAATGCAGCGTGTTTTGCCAAGATGTTTGCACCTCATTAAATTAAGCGAACAAAAATAAGGATTCCACCTTGTCATTCACTTGTGATGCCGCACTGCTGAACTCCTGCCGCACAAGTTCTGAACTTCTCGTGCACAGCTGTGAACCAGTTCGGATTGGTGCAGGTGAACTAAACTGACCCTTAAAAGATGGAAGCTGGAAAATATGAAAAATATGTTAACATAAGGGGTCAAAGCAAATGTTTCGACAAGCAGTCTTGTCTCCTGTGAGCCTACAATGTCATTTGTTTGAACACCTGGAAGCCACAATCAACCTAATTTGCCCACTACTGTACGACTCACGATTACTTCATAGTTGGCATGTGAATTGTCGGAAATTATTAATTGCACTACATAATGAACACACCCACAGTGATGGGCATTAACAGGCTTTCCGACATTTAGTTGTGCCTTGTGACAGTTTACCAACAACGCCCAGAACTGTTTTGTCCTAATTAACTGTGTTTAGCTCATACAAGTTTACAAAAAGATGCACCAAAGTTCATGAGACTGCACTCAATTGCTTTAGCTTTGCACATATGTTCAATGGGCTCCTAAAATAATAAATCATAAAGGTGATGAGCAGTTGCAGCACAGCTTCCTCAAAGACGTGAATGCTGTCATGAGGAGCAAGATTGTGTTCATTGCATGTGGTAGTTTTTTTTTTTTTTTTTTGGCAGAAAAACGTTCCAGATTTCTTTGTGCACATCTGCTTCTGTTTAAATTAAGTTGTCATAGCTATAATGTCCACCACTATGAAGTGAAATTCTGTGCACTACAGTCATGAAAAAAAATCTTGGAAACCGCACAGGTAGTTGAAACATACATGATCTTCACTTATCTACAGCCACACTGCAAGACAGTACGTATTTCAAGTCCTAACCTCTAAAAGTAGCAGAAAGAAAACAACTTCATTTTCAACCACAAGTATACTGAAAAAGTAAACACAATAACAAGTGTGTAATAAATGTGACCTTTATTCATTCAGTATTCGGACACATTCACATCATGTACCACCAATTGATTTCAGAAGTGCTTGCTTGTAAGAGAGTACTGAAGTTCTATGGATATGTCTATGCAAAAAAAGAGATTGTGCTTAGGGCTGAGCAGATAGTGTGATGTAAGAGTACCAACAAAGATGTACAGATAACATACCTGAAGCTTAATGCATACCTGAAGCTTATTTTCTTAGAATTCGGCCTTTTCGATCTGTAAGCACATACCTCATAAGTGTCCCTTTAGCAAACATGTTTGCTGCATACTCAGCAGACTGGTCATTACCTGCAACGAGAAATTCTAGCTGTGGTTACTGTGTAACTTAACTCTAACAATAAATGTAGCAAGCTTGAAATATTTTTAGGCCCATCCCCTAAATACATAATACCTATGATATGGACTCATGACTGAGTATTAAAACTAGTGCCTACCCTCTCGACACGACGCGACATTGCAGCATTGTGAAGCACTCAATGTAGCATTGCAGAGCGAGAAATATTCAGAAATCACGCATCCGCAATTGCTTATTTAACAAATTTAGCAAAACTACATTGCTCTAACTGCGCGAGCAATCTATCGGCAATGTGCAAGTTTCCTTCCCGATTCCACATCATGCATTCGCTTCAAGATCAACACTACGGGGCAAGCGCCGCATCTGACGGCAGAATCGGACCCTTGTCGTGAAGCCACGCTATTAAACTCGAGCGCCTCAACACAATGAGAGCGACATTCATTCAGTAATTTCGATGTTCAGTTATATGCATATGCTTGTTAGCTTTCAAAAGTCTTTACACGTGGGTTGAAAGCTTTCGATATGTATGAGTGACTTGTTTTGTTCGGACCCGACCGTATACATTGATTGTACCGGCTTGGACACTCGCAATAAACGATGCAAACCTTACTTGATTGACGTTGTTTTTGCCAGTCGAAGCCAGCTAGGTCCCCTGGCGATAATTACAGACGCGAAACGCGATTGGGCAACGAAAAAAAAAAACAAAACAGAGGAAGCGAGCAGCGCGAACCAACCGCAAACCCCCCACCTGCAGCAAAAAAAAAAAACTCGTCTGTTTATTGATGATGATAATACTTCTAGCGCCTTCTCGCAACACCACCTAGACAATTGACAAGGCCCCTCCAGGGAGAGCGTGACGTCAAGCTAGTTGCCCACCTGCACCCACGGCCGTCGTCGCCACTCGTTCTCGTTATATCTGCTGTGGGCACTTATTGAAAGCCGGTGTTTCTTTTTTTTGTTCTTTTTTTGTTCCTGCACGGTCTGCATTTGTTTACGCCTGCCTTTACACTTTAGTGATCAAACTGTGATAGTCGGAAATGCATTTGTAGAAGTGGTTTTATTAGGACGAAAGGCTAAAACCATCCTACCTCATTTCTTGTTCAAGGTTTTGATTTTTCTGTCAGCTGCCTTTTTTTGTGCGTTGCTTTGGATGGTGTCATTTCGAACTCTACAAAAGTTGTTCAGAGCGACATTTGTTGCAACACGCACTACATGCCGCACTATAGTCTCAGAGGTATGGCCATTTTCACAAGTCTCTAGCTCAACATCTCCTAGCAGTCATGTGGTAATGGAGCTTACAATGCCACGTTGGTTGTTCGACGCGAGGAACGCCATTGCATTTTCTCCCTTGGTGAGCTTTTCGACAACAAGCGTTGTCACCAGCACCATGTGCACAGTACATGGCTGCGGAAACTTTAAGCTTCCTCTTGACAAGTTGTCAATCATTGTGTTACCTTCCACATCTATGTTCCTGCTCTCCAGGACGAGCACGCTGCTGCAAAATGCGCATGACAGCTTCTTCAGAGCTGAATGAGCACAATATCCAGCAATATAAGCAACGACCTCCATGTCATGCTTTGGGTTGGAAATTTCATCATTTGAGATCTGAACAGACAAGTTATGTTGCGATACTTCTGTGTCACTTTCTCTGCTGATGTCTGGCTGCGGAAGCATCAGCAGCTTTTGCAGACGAATTTTCTTTTCAGACTCCAGAAGCTGCCTCACGGAAACATGATATTGTGCACCAGCAAGCTGACGGTAG